TTTTTTTGCGATCATATACGGCAATTGACAGCAAAAATCAACATTTTTTAGCCTAAATCTTTCAGAACAAAAACTAGCCACAAAAATAGAAAAAACCTACTTGAACTCGACTAGCATCCGAACTGCTGGACGCATTCTTCTTCGTCAGCTGACACTTTCCGTAGGTGGTCGTTGAAGTGGAAGTGGAGGTCGTCGTCGTCGTTGTCAGATAGTGCCGGGTTATTGAGGAGTTGGAGTTGAGGTTGACCGAAACGGAGTTGCTGTGGTGATTACTCGATTGGTGGTGGTGATGGGGCATTCCGCTCGTCACAAGCGGCGGCATCAGCCCCGACGTGGAGGAGGAAAGCTTTCCCGCTTGATTACCACCTCCAGTGCCCACCTCCAGCGGCCCGCCCTTGCCATTCCGCCGGAAGATGTCATTCTGGTAGAGAATGCGGGCAATGAGGGCGTAGAGGACCACCGAGACGAGCAGCGGAATGATGTAGAAGAGGACCATGTCGGTGAGAAAGTAGCCCTTGTAGTGCTCCCGGTTGAGGGCAAACTTGCAGGTGACCACCTCCGCCTCGATGCCGATGTAGTAGAGCGGCTCAACCTTGGTGAGGAAGAGCCACGGCGAACAGTAGGCGGTGGCAAACATCCACACGTAGAGGATGATCCGCTTGGCCCGGCGAACCGTGCAGAGCTTGTGCGCCAGCATCGGGTGGCAGATGGCGATGTAGCGCTCCACGGTGAAGGCCGCTATGGAGAGGCTGCTCGCGTTGATGCCCAGAAATTGGAAGAAGATGAAGAGGGCGCAGCCCACCCGGCCCCAGATCCACTTGTCGCCGAGGATGTAGTAGGCGATGATGCCGTTGGGAACAGAGGCCAGGAGGACCATGCTGTCGGCGATGGCCAGCGACACGAGGTAGCAGTTGGTGGGCGTTCGCATGCCTCGACTTCGAAGCACCACGATCACCACCATGACATTGCCGAGGACGCCTAAATTTGGGGGAGAAAGAAGAAAAAAGATAGAGTTAGAAGCTATGGGTAGTTGTTTACCGCATGATTCAAAATGATAAGCAGTAAAAGAGAAGTCAGTCAAGTTTACATCCTGAAAGAGAGAAAGATGTCCCAGCTGACAATGTTTGGACGGACGTGATTGACTCTGGGCGCCGCCAACCGTTCACAGACGGCGTCAGTCATACAGCTTACAAACGTGGGCGCGGGTGTTTTAATTAATCGAAAAGTCAACTGCCTGTCCTTATCATTCCTTTCACCCTCAACCAACCACACACACACACACACACACACTTCTGTCACACGCACGCACTCACTTCACACAGAAACTCGTTACAGATTTTTCCATTCAGATTCGAGAAATGGAAGCAACATCAGCAGCTGAATCTTCTCCTGCAGCCATTTTGGAACGCACTTCTGGTGCAAAGAACTCTCACGAGACTTACAACTTCTAATTAACTGAACTGCTGCTGTTTTCATTTTCTCTGATTGTGTCTGCTTGTCTGTCTGTGTCTGTGTGTGTGTGCTTCTGAATCTTGATTCTTTTAGACGGGTAAAAATCACTTTACCCGAATCAGCAGACACAGCAGCAGCAGCAGCAGCCGGCAAAATAAATGCCTCCTGTTTTCTGTTTTCTTTTTGCTGTAGTGCTCAAACGCTCACTGAACTGTTTAGAAAGCGGCAAGAAAAAGAAATGAAAGAAAAAAGGCAACAAAAACAGCTGAAAAGTGATTCTAATTTCTCCGTCGAGACCGAAAAGCTGGACCTGTCTTTTCGCCCGACTGACATGAGTACCGCTTAGTTAGTGTTTTTGTTTGGTTTTTTATATCTTTTAGTTAACAGCCCGGACGAGAAATGTTTTCAGTTTACGTCAAGCCAAAAAAACATTTTTGAATTTTGGTTGCATTTTTGAAAGACGTCGTAAATGCTTGTGTTGATAATAGTCATTTTGGCC